TCACTTCCTAATGCTTTCCGTTTGCTAACTACTCCGACACTGAAAACCTTTCTAGTGTCTGGCTCATTTTGTAGATTCTCGGTTTCCATTTGTGTTCCGTTGTGCGAGTACCAGCCTTGCTAAATAGTCTCTCTTCATCTACCCTGTCAATTCCTCTGAAAATTTTGAAGGTGGTACTCATGTCTCCCCTAACTCTTCTGTCCTCCAGCGACGTGAGGTTCAATTCATGTAGGTTAGCTTTCTTCGTAACTCATACCGTGTAGTTCTGGGACTAGTCCAGCTTCGTCTTGTGCTTGACCAGGTATGGACTCCACGCTGGAGCCGTGCACTGTCTGCAGCGTGTGTCCTTGAGATTGTTGATAACCATTTTGCATAAGATATTATTCACAAATAAATATTTATAGTTTTCTTAAGCATTCGTGATAGTTACATCTAAAATCTTTGAATATTATGAAATATTGAAATTTTAAGATAGAAGTAATTCTTGGTGAATCTTTAGATTATTATGATTTGAAGGTGGTCACAAATTATGTTTTCTCTGAATACTTCAAGATGCTTCTCCATAACTGACGCTAGGTTAGTTGGTCAGTGTCTTAAGACGCAAGAGATATGTTTCCCTTTATTAAACCTGGCACTACGTTGGCAGCTCTCCATGATGCAGAGACAATTCTACGGTTATTATATTATACGGGTTTATTAACGGGCTGCTTTATTTAAGAGTTCTTTAAGAATCTAGCAAGTATCTGTGTGATTTGTGTGGCGTTAATCTTTACATTTGTTTACAAGTTTTAATTTTTGTCATGAGTAGGTAACAGTTTTGTGTGTACTCTTGATCTCTAAATGGAGTCTGTAAGTATACAGTCTGGCTGTTAAATAGTGAAGACTGATATGAAGTAGTTATTGAGAATGTTAATAATTTCCTCGTTACTGTTCTGGGAGTGATATCTGTGACTCAGTATTTTCCAGAATGCTTAATATAATTGAAAAAACAAAAACTCCTTTGAAATTGTCTTTATTTCGTGCTTTAAATTTCTTGTTGATTACAAAAATATATTACATGTTTGAACCTCTCCTCATTACAGTTTGAATTACTGGATGGCAGGGGAATACTGCTCCCTCACTTCATGTCAAATATTTGTAAAATTTGTAAAATTAAGTTTTCGTTTTAGGACTAAATGAAGAATATTTTCCCCTTGTCGGTTCATAATGACTTAAGGAAAGTCATACACACCTCCAAAAAATTCTCTGTCTAGACATTGCCTGTTATAGATTGATGCAGTTTATTCTACTCAAGTTTAAATCTCCAACTATGAACACATCTTTTACATCTCAATGCCATTATAATTTTCACTTAAATTTCCCTTCTGCTCTAACTATATTTTTCAGGCTATAAATATTATTATTAGGCTTTGGTTTGTTCCTCTTCTCTCAGTCCATATTGTTTCAGGTTTCATTACTATTTTAAAACTTTGTTAATGTAATTGTGTTAATGACTTGTGGAGCCGGTCGGCCGAGCGGACAGCACGCTGGACTTGTGATCCTGTGGTCCTGGGTTCGATCCCAGGCGCCGGCGAGAAACAATGGGCAGAGTTTCTTTCACCCTATGCCCCTGTTACCTAGCAGTAAAATAGGTACCTGGGTGTTAGTCAGCTGTCACGGGCTGCTTCCTGGGGGTGGAGGCCTGGTCGAGGACCGGGCCGCGGGGACACTAAAAAGCCCCGAAATCATCTCAAGATAACCTCAAGATAGATGTAGCATTTTAGGTTCGGCCAAAAAAAGGCAACCGGGCCTGTTGATTCTCTCCGTGGGAATTAGTGTGTAGCCTCAAGTGTAAACACTTTAATCCACGAACACACACACACGCACATATTTGTTATTTATTTTGATTAGTTATTTTTGATGTTAAAACCAAGAACTTCACATTTTTTGTTGTAGTGTTCTGTAGTCGAGGGAACATGTTTGATATTTACCTGATGACTGTTGTACTAGCCACTCCTTTACAAGATACAGTGACTGTATTACTAGCCACTCCTTTACAAGATACAGTGACTGTATTACTAGCCGCTGCTTTACAAGATACAGTGACTGTATTACTAGCCGCTGCTTTACAAGATACAGTGACTGTATTACTAGCCGCTGCTTTACAAGATACAGTGACTGTATTACTAGCCACTCCTTTACAAGATACAGTGACTGTATTACTAGCCACTCCTTTACAAGATACAGTGACTGTATTACTAGCCACTCCTTTACAAGATACAGTGACTGTATTACTAGCCGCTGCTTTATAAGATAGTGACTGTATTACTAGCCGCTGCTTTACAAGATACAGTGACTGTATTACTAGCCACTCCTTTACAAGATACAGTGACTGTATTACTAGCCACTCCATTACAAGATACAGTGACTGTATTACTGGCTGCTGCTTTTCAAGCTACAGTGACTTTATGTCCAGGTCGCCAAGTTGTTTCCAATCCGAACTGAATAACTGTATTAATTTTGGATGAAATTAGCGTCGAATTGTCGAGTTCGTCCAAAAGGAACGTTAATTTAGCCGTCACTTATTGCTCCTCTTTATCTGGTGTCTTATTCTTGAAGGAGGGAAACGTAGAGGAGGTGCGTGAGGCGGAGAACATTTTGTGGACCTCGTAAAACCCCTCGCAGAATATCCACATCTCTTCTGTGGTGGACTGTCTGGCTGTAGGGGAGTGGATCGATGCAATAATTTTACTTCTCGGTGGATGTGTAGTCCTGTCCTGTAGTTTGTCTAACAGCTTTTGATAAATTCATGGAGAATAATCCCAAATTAGGGGTTATATGAAAGATCTAATTTGTGAATAGGAGAATCTTGCACTCCTCGTCCTTTGATATCTAGGAATACGCAACCCTTCACAGACAGGCAAAATTCATCGTACATTTAGCTGCAACTAGTTTACCGTGACTAATATGTCACGTTATTCATAGCCAGCCTCATGCTGATAAGAGATATTTGGAACCTTCCTCAGTGAAGCATAATTCTTTGCCAACAGTAATTTCAATCGCTCGAGAAATAATAATTTCAGGGGATTCATTAATGCTATATACGTTCTCTTCCTGTTTATCTATGGAAACTAAGCTGGCAAGTATCTGCCTGTTGGCTCCTGTCTCTGGTGTACCTCCACGAAGCCCATGGTAAATGTTATATAATATTGGTGAGACCAAATTGATATTCAGGTGGTGGTGTTGGTTCAGTCTTGAGGTAACGCTAATTCTACGCTGATCTGACGTTGATCTTGGATAGTGTACCTTTGGGGAACTTTGCAGTCTACGTGTTGCAGGAAGTGTTGTTGCCGGTGACACCTTTTTAAGGCTTAGTTTGCTCCCCCGATCTTTGTGCCATAACCTATGAGTTACGTCCACTCCGGGCTCACCATAGCCCGTGCTACTTGGAACTTGTTCCGAGAAGCTGAATCTAAAGCAAAAACAACAACCTATGAGATACTCCAGCGATCTCTCAAGCTTGTGGCACATGTATCCAAACGAACAAATCCACAAGGGCCGTGACGAGGATTCGAACCTACGTCCGAGAGGATCCCCAGACGCTGCCTTAATCGACTGAGCTGCGGTATGTGGACTTGTTCATTTGATGAATCTCGCTATTGTGATTTCTGTGTTTACATGTTTCCAAAGCTGTGGGATATGTATTAGAGGCTGTAACCATGTATCCAAGTCTGGCACGTGTATCCTCTCTACACGAGACTCCCGATACATTTTATAATCTGCTTTATAAGCTGCTCAATTTGGGCTTAATTGTCAAATCTGTGTAAGTTGTTAGGAATAAAGTTTCTGATTCAAAGCCTAAAGTGACAGACCGGATAGACTTCTATTGTTTTTTTTTAGAATCGAATTACTTATTAATAAATATTTCTAATTAGAATTCTCTATTTTGATAATTGATGTCTGGATTGTCTTTTTGTGGTCATATAAAACCTCCAATAGCCTCGTTGCAACTTTGCACCCATTCTTGCCGGCCGTTGAAGAGGAGTGCGAGTGATCTTGAACATCTTTTAAGGATTTAAGGCGCTTATACAACCTGGTCCTAAGACCTTGCAAAACTTTATGTCGAGAAAAGTTATTCTACTTGATCTTATTTTTTGTGATGATGATGCTTGTTGCATCTTGTAGGTACAGTCACTAGAGTGAGCCATCAGGTTTGCTTATTGATTTATATATTTAGATATTAAGTTGTTTATAGATATTAAGTTGTTTAGTTGTTTATAGATATTAAGTTGTTTATAGATATTAAGTTGTTTATAGATATTAAGTTGTTTATATATTTAGATATTAAGTTGTTTATTGCTGGATGTTTCTCGTATTGGTATAACTTGACACAATAGTACCCAGCGCCACCTGGTAGTTCTGGAGTATGTCGGGGTGAATGAAGAGTCAGTTTATGCTGAGATTCGCGACCAGACACTCACATCCTGCAGCTGTGGCAAGCGGCCGCTGCCGCCGGAGCTCCAGCTGCACGGCCCCCTCAACGTGCAAATGTTCCAGGTGCTCCTGTTAAAGTCTGAGACACGTGGAAGACCTCGTAAAGACGACAGAAGGAGCCGCTTGTATGATCAACGCCTGCCCTGGAAACACAAACCGAAACTGTCTCTATTTTCCGCTTGTTACAACTGTAATAAAGTTGTTACATCTTCGCTTAACGCGTATTAGAACGTTGTTACAACTTGCTATATGGTTGTTATAAATGGTTAGGAGGTGTTAAAACTTGTTCGAACGTGTACCAACGTCGTAGTTTCGGTGTGTGTTTGGCGGGTGGCTCCCTCCCCGACCCGAGTCGTCGTGTTAGCGGGGTCGTTCTGGCGAATATCGCCAGGGGTTGGGGGTCGTTGAGTAGGGGGGGGGGGAGGGGAAGTTAAACACCATATCTGATCCAAAGACATCCTTTATTTAAGCTGGTTAACACGACAGCAACCCAGCCAGATGACATCCCCCCCCCCCCAATGACCTAATGACAGCCTGTGATCTCCTCCAAAGTGATGCCATGGACGTCACAAAGCCATAGATTCAGATAGGATCATTTCTGCTGCTGCCATTAGAGTAGATGTCATCACCGACCGCCAGTGACGTCACTAACACACCTGACGTCGCCCCCCCCCCTCATCGATGACATCATCACAACATTGACACCCCCCCCCCCCCCCCGCCTGCTACATCTACTACATAGAGTTCTGAAAGTTTATAACTTGTATTTACAGTCACTTATTGCACTGCTCTCATGACTAGCGTCTATAAATAATCCCAAAATTATTATATACAAGATTTCATCATTTTTATCTTTAATCAAAAGGTATTAAAAATGGAACTTTCTTGAAAGATTACAATTCAGAAACGTCGATTCAAATATTTATAAAACCGATACTGATTTATTTTAGGACATTAAAGAAATAATAAAGTAATTATAATAGAATACAAATAAAGCTAGAATAATATTTTTATTATTATTATTATTAACTAGCGGTAATAAAATGCCATTATAAGACAATATAAATTGTGTTGATGACGATGATAATAACATATATATATATATACAGTAATATATAAATTAATATTAACAATAACAATAATTATGATAACGCTAAATATGATAAATAAAAATACATAAACCGAGACTTTTAAAAGCTGGTTACATGAAATATGTACAAGACAGTAATATAAAAATCTTAAGATTTGTAAATGAGCGCAGCAGCTGGACACTAATTGCTGACTTCATGTACAGACACCAGACGTGAAACCAGGTGTTCAGTACGCCAACAGAAAACGGAGAAGCATTTATATATATATATGTGGAGTGAATGTATATTTATTGTTACATTGTACTGTGCACCACGGAGACCTGGGAGCATTGCGCACTGTATTGCACAAGTTATAGGTACGCACAATATTTGCCATGAATGCCTCAAGGACCGCCTTTGGTACGAACGCACAATTTGCTGTTAATTTGTACCAGAACACTACTCTCTTTGGCCAGTGAAAGGCGTATCGGCCACACTGACAGTCACCGAGCAATTGTTGAACACTAGGCAAATGTGGACTACTTCGGCTCTGTGATTGTTTGGCCTCGTCACTGTCTTTGCCTGAGCGGCAAAGGCAAAAGCCTTTGCGTGAGCTGGTCACTGTCATTGTCTGAGCTGGTCACTGCCTTCGTCACTGTCTTTGCCTGAGTTGGTCACTGCACTTGTGTGCCCTCGTCACCGTCTTTGGCTAGCTTTTCATTATTCATTTGGGTTAATTATTAGCAATGTTACGTCCAAATTCTGTTTGTGCGGCACCCAATCACTTTTCGTTTTTGTCAATGTCCTCCTTGTTTAAATAATTTAATTTGTCTCGGCCTCTATCAATGTTAGAGACGAACATTGATTCTTTATGACAAATCTCCAGCACTGACTCGGCCAATCACCGCCATTGACTCGGCCAATCACCGCCATTGACTCGGCCAATCACCGCCATTGACTCGGCCAATCACCGCCACTGGCTCGGCCAATCACCGCCACTGGCTCGGCCAATCACCGCCATTGACTCGGCCAATCACTGCTATTGACTCGGCCAATCCCCAACACTGACAGCCAATCACCGCTAACTTCCTTCGTGGCTTCAACTAGTCAGCGTCCACATTGCAAGCCAATCACTGCTCTTATTTCATCTATTCAACAGCAATGCCGCAGCCAATCTCCGTCCTTGTTTCAGCCAGTCACATCGCTTCTCCTAGCCAATCACTGCCCTCGCCTTAACCGATCACAGCCCTTCTCCCATCCAATCACTGCCCCTGTCCTCTTGGATTTCAACGAGTGTTTTCTCTATTAAATCTGAATTTTTTATCGGGTTTCTAAGACTTTTCAAGGTGCTTAGTTATGTAGTTAGGAGTTTTCCGTTTATAAGATCATTTATCTTTCAGTAAAGGGGATATAATCTCTTTATCTCTCTGTCTCAGAGGGAGAGAAGACGGGTAGGGGATAAATTGCAAATATTGCCATGGTTGCGGCCATACCCTAGACAGCAAGCAACACAGTTTGCTCTTGCTGTGGGCGTTATGGGCGTGGGGGCCGTGACTGTTACGGGCGATGGTGGGCGGCGGCGCGACACGGGCGGCGAAGGGTTTGGGTGCCGTGGCTGGTTGACCAGTGGTGAGAGCTGGAGATGTGGGCGGGGTACCGTGGGCGTGTGAGAGATTCAAAATGGGCGGAGGTGTGCGGGTCATGGACAGATTACCGTGGGTGCGTGGGCGTGTACACGTGGGTGTGTGGGCGTGCATGCGTCGCGGGCGGGTGGGCGGGTTGCAGGGTGGTGCTCACTTGGCCTGAGCGGCGTCGTCGTCGCGGTCCTGATGGGCGCTCATGTGTCGCGTCAGGTGGTGCCGCTCGCGGAAGCTCTCGTTACAGATGTTACACTTGAGGCGCTCGTTGCGGCGCCGCTTGTACGGGTCGGCCTCGCGCTTGTGTTGCGAGCGCATGTGGTACACCAGGTCCGACGTCATGCGGAACGATATGTTGCACTTGGCGCACACGTTCTGCGCCGCCTGCGTCAGCGAGGCCAGGGACGGCGGCATCAGGGCGGACACCGACGGCTGCGACAGGAACGGAGCCGCGGCGCTGAGCTTGGCGGCGTCGGCTGCGGACGGTGCGGACAGCGGGTAGGCGAGGGACGTGAAGGGCAGCTTGTACGGGTCCGCAGGACACATGGTGGACCGCAGGCGGGAGAGCGCCTCGGACATGTCTCCTGCGGGCTTGGCCTCCATCAGGTGGTGGTGGGACTTGAGGTACTCCTCCACCAGGTTGTTGTTGAGGCGGTCAGGGCTGGCGTGGGGCAGGAAGGGCGCCAGGCCGTGGGGCAGCAGCCCTGGGGCCGCCAGCAAGGGCGCCAGCGACTTGCCGCTACTCAGCAGGGAGCTGACGGCGCTGAAGGAGGCTGACACGGGCGGCCAGGCCGTGAGAGCGTCCAGGGTGCTGCTGGCGGAGATGAAGTGTGGCGGTGATGACCCCTGTGACCTGGTGACCTTGGTGAAGGCGCTGCCGGGGGTCACGTCTTCGCGAGTCCGGTCAACGCGGGGCGGCGTCGCGGGCGCGGCCGGCGACATCTTCAGTCCGGCAACGCGGCTGACCTTAGCGGCGGGCGTGGCGCCCTCGGGGTCGAGGAGGTGGTCGCGGGCGCCCGTCAGGAAGGCGACGTCGAAGGTGCGCTTGGTGGGGGAGGTGTGGGGGCTTGTGGGGGAGGTGTGGGGGGGACTGGACGCCGCGCTCACCCCACGCAGCGCCTCCATGATCATGACTGACACCTGCAATAAGACACTCATCAGTGACAGATTAAACCCAGGCACTACGGGCTCACCATAGCCCGTGCTACTTAGAACTTTGTTCTAGGTAGCGAATCTTTAACAACAACAAACAACCTGCCACACACAGCTCATCCCGAGCTTCCTAACACACAATGTTACTTATATGAATAATTTGTTAAATAATTTCATATATAAAAGTAATTATATAATATACATGTATATACTTTGACACTTGAACTCTCCCCTAACGAAACACCACACATGACACTAAAACAGTAATCACTATTGTGAACAAAGAAAAACACCATCTTGTAATATCAAAATAACACCAAAACGCCATTAAAAAAATTACCCTAAACACATAATCACACAAACTCCAAATCTTCCTTTGCAACACTGACTTTTCTTAACCAAACAACACCTAAACACACACACACTGGCAACGATATGGTGACGTCTAAACATTGCTCTACAATGACAGTAATTGGTAATAACCCTCCTATAAAGATTCCACTACAAGCCGACTCCTATAATGACCCCTAATCATGCCTCGGTAACCGTGAACATCCCTCTATAACGTCACAGTACATCAAGGTAAAGACATAGACGCCTGCACACCTCTTCTTAATTCCTAGGCGTTTAATGTCGACAAGTCCAAGCGCTGAGTATTCCCCGATCCATATAATAATATAATGAGGATAATATAGTTATGATAATACTACTAATTATTATTATTATTAAGTGCTCTCATTACTACCAATAGTATTATCTCCAAGATAATGTGACCCCACGACACTCTATCTTAATTGGTAAACTCCTGGGGCATATTGTTCTTAGAAGCCCGACCATGTATAACATAACTTATCAACGATTGCAATAACACGAGTACGCACTACCATCATAATGAACACTTGCAACAACTCCGCCACACACCTGCAACAACACCAACAAATTACAATACATTCTTGTAATAACACTGTCAAGTTTACACAACACTACCCCCCGGCGTTTGTAACACCACGACCACATACACACACACACCTGTAACAACACTGCTGTATGATTACAATAAAACGTATACAAGTTTACAACAACACTGCTAAACGCTTGCACCAATACCGATTCACGCTTGCTCCAACACTGCCCCTACACTTTCAACAATATCAATACACGTTCGAAACAACATTAATACGCGCTTTCAACAGTACTACATGTACGCAACAAGTGACGCGCGCTTACTTGTTTAATAAAATACTAAATTCAATATAAACAACACAGCTATAATCCAGGTACTTAACCCACAATGACAGGATTTCCTATTCGCACTACTATAGTGCAACATAAATATTTCATATGTGTGTGGGGGGGGGGGGGTTGTGACCCGAGGGCCGGGTCAAAGCGGTTGGGCAGCACTTGAATAATGAGTACCCGACGGGTAAGTGTGCTACTGGAAGATGTCCTAGTGGTGTGTCCTTGGGTACTGTTATACCGAACAGCTTAGTCCCCTCAGGTTTGGCATGTGGGTGGAATCCAAGCCGATGTCATTCACTTGGTCACTCATTGTGATATTAAAAGAGGTTAATAATTGTCTCATCTGTTCCCTATGCATTTTACCTCTTTCGTACCGTCCCTCCCTCCCACCTCCCTCTCTCTCTCTCTCTCTCTCTCTCTCTCTCTCTCTCTCTCTCTCTCTCTCTCTCTCTCTCTCTCTCTCTCTCTCTCTCTCTCTCTCTCTCTCTCTCTCTTCCACCCATTTTTCTTCCATTTCACACACAAACACACACACACAGAGGAGTCATTGGTATAAGCAACCAGCGGCTAGAAAGGTGGGATCCAAGAGTCAAAGCTCGATCCTGCAGCCGCAACTAGGCGAGTACACGCACACGCACACGCAGTGAGGTGACATAAGTGAGATGAGTCATGAGTGATGAGCCATCACCTCACATGAGTGAGGTGTGTACACACACACACACGCGCGCCCTCGTGGCCGAGCGGACAACGTTTGAGGGTCTTAGTCTTAAGGACCCTGGTTCAATTCCCGGTCGAGGCAGAAACAAATTGTCAGAGTTTATTTTACCTGATGTCTCTGTTCACCTAGCGGTAAATAGGTATCCGAGAGTTAACTGCTATAGGGCTGTATCCTAGAGATCTGTGTGTGTGTGTGTGCGCATGAGTGCGAAAATTATGTAGCAAATGTAGAGGAAAAATAGGCCTGGAGGCAGTACATTTGACAGCCGACAGTTAGAAAGGCGGGGTCCAAGAGCTAATATCTCGATCTTACAGCCGGTGGTCGTGTACCTGCTGGACCCCAGTGGTCGTGTACCTGCTGGACCCCAGTGGTCGTGTACCTGCTGGACCCCAGTGGTCGTGTACCTGCTGGACCCCAGTGGTCGTGTACCTGCTGGACCCCAGTGGTCGTGTACCTGCTGGACCCCAGTGGTCGTGTACCTGCTGGACCCCAGTGGTCGTGTACCTGCTGGACCCCAGTGGTCGTGTACCTGCTGGACCCCAGTGGTCGTGTACCTGCTGGACCCCAGTGGTCGTGTACCTGCTGGACCCCAGTGGTCGTGTACCTGCTGGACCCCAGTGGTCGTGTACCTGCTGGACCCCAGTGGTCGTGTACCTGCTGGACCCCAGTGGTCGTGTACCTGCTGGACCCCAGTGGTCGTGTACCTGCTGGACCCCAGTGGTCGTGTACCTGCTGGACCCCAGTTCTCACACCGCGTGATAATGGACCTTAATGATTTTACGTCAATAATTTGTGTAAACAAATGCTATAATCTGAAGCGTGTCTGTTGATCACTAGACCTATCCCCCCCCCCTACCCCCTACCCACGATCCCCAAAATAATGAAATATATAGAAAAAATATTAAGATATTTAATGATATTTATAGATATAATTATATTAAAATTTAAAAAAGTTGAAAAATACAACCATATATATATATATATTACCTTTTAAGATGACACAATGAGTAGTTCCAGCAGGTTGGACACGAGTAGTGGTAGCGATGTTATCAGCACTGAAGGGGGGCGGGGGGGCGGGAGGGTGTAATATCGCCCGAGACAGGTGGTGGTAACGGAGAAAGTAGTTCCCTTGTGCGAAGTCGTCCACTCACACGTGTGGAGCTCCGATGCTCTTCGACCGCGACCAGCAACGCGGACAAAGTGACTAAGCCCGTTTTCTGTTGGCGCGCTCTTATATACCAGGATAGCCTGCTGAGGGCGGGGCCTATTGATTGATTATGTTAATGATTGGCCGAGAGTGGTGATAAAGGTGGCTGTGATTGGCTGCCTCGGGCCGCAGGTGTCAGAACCTATTGTGTCCGTCGTTAGAGTGGGACCTGACCTATTGTGGGAGGGCAGGCGACCCGAAGAGCACACGCCCCATGAAGACACCTTCTAATCTCGTTTTATTCCCGCTGTGGCCCTCAGGGTGGACTAGCCTGGCACCGAGGACCTCTCTGTGGCACCAAGACACATTTACAGGAGCTTGAGTGCCACAGACGCTCCATACGAGTTTGAAGACATGGTTTAAACATCTTAAAGACGTGATCATACTTAACTGGTTGCTCGCCAATATATTCCACACGGAGAGTTTAGATTTAGAAACCTTAACTCGAGAGTTAAACAAATCATTGCAGGTATGGCTGGAGTAAACAGGTCTGTATAAGTATACATCCTGTATAAGTATCATACAGGATACATCCTGTATCCTGTATGTCGGGATCAAAGAGCCAAAGCTCAACCCCCGCAAGCACAACTAGGTGAGTACATCGGTCAGACTTATATTGATAATACAAACTGCTTGAAATCAGAACAAAGAAAAGAAGCCAATTTGGACCATTAGCATAAACTAATTACACATCTTCGCTGTCTCTTACATCTTGAGATGATTTGATGATTTACATTTGATGATTTACATTTGATGATTTACATTAACAGATTCAGGGATTATTACCCTCGATTATATCACATATGATTTCAACAGGATTACAAATGCTTGTCATTTTTTTCTGTTTTTTTTTACAATAATTATTTAATAATTCCTAATATCTAACTGGGGAGTCTCTCCCTGCTTTCTCTACTGACGAGTTTAATTATATAATATATATTATATATATAATATACATATAATGAATCTGCTACACCATCACTCTTTATGAATCTGCATTAATTAAATACGATCAAGTTTATATATCTGACAAAGTTTGAGTAGTCAGTGATAAGTGAAGACTTGAGGAAAAAATAGAGCTTATGGAGCTGGATGAGCGATTGATGGATGACGATTAAGTCACCCATCAATAAGACTAAGAGGTGGCACGGGTTTGAATAGCCGTAAAGGAGAAAGCGCCAAGCCATTACGACTATATAGCACTTGGAAGGGGTCAGGATAAGGATTTGGGATGGGATGGAGGGAAGGAATGATGCCCAACCATTTAGACGGTCGGGGATTGAATCGCGACCTGCATGAAGGGAGACCGTCGCTCTACCTTCCAGCCCAAGTATAACGGAATCGAGCAATCTGTTAAAACTGCAACGTATTTGTTAAAATTAAAGCACAACAGTGTTGACGTTTTCAAACGACGGCCTCGATAGGTTAAGTGGGTTGTTTGGGCTCGGACGCTTCCGTTCAGACAAGACAGCTGCATTTTTTACGGAGTGACAAGCCGAGGGACCGGTCGTTCTGGCTACAGAACGCGCACGATGAGCCCCTGGGTGTCCTTGTATAATATTCCTTGTCTCATTAACTGCTCTTCTGGGCCCTTCCTCCAGAACCTCTTGGCCCTTCCTCCCAGAGCTGCCCTTCTGGGAGACAATGATTGTCTAAACAAATATATTAATATAATATTCATAATAGTGTAGATTCTAAATTTGTTTAATGTGGATGAAGGGTGGATTAACTCCAGATATTGTTGTGGTGCGCCAAGGAGAGCTTAAATCCTAGATTAAGTACAAATAAAGCACTTTCTCGTACTCTTCTTGTGAG